TTTGATCTTTAAAAATATATGACTCTTCAATGACATCAGCAGAAATGATTTTATATAACTTTCTGCTCACCTTTCAAGATTATTTATGTCATGTTTAGGGTTATAATGTCAATGCCGTCACCATAGACCACGTCACCCCATTGCATGAAGCCTGTCTCGGAGGTCACGTGGCCTGTGCCAGATCTCTTCTGGAAGCGGGAGCTAATGTAAGTATCTTTCAAAAACATTAATAATTTTACATCTTCTGACTGAATCAAACAAAGTTCACATTTTGCTCTTCTTTCCTTCCTCCTCAGTAGTTTTCAAAAATAGCAGAATAAAAATAAAGCTCTTGAATTGCCTCAGCCTTCTCATTGCACTCTAAAAAGGATTTCCAATCATTGCATAAATGGGTAGCATGCATAATAATATAGAACATTCTTTAGGTTATTTCCTCCTTTCATGACTCTAAATAGCAATAGATGAACATCTTTTTGCCTATAATGTTCGCCCCTATTTTGGATGATTTTCCTTAGACAAATTCTCAGAATTAACCCATTTTAGCAGTTTAAAATAGCAATGCGATGTGGCTGCGTCACAACCTTCGTCACCATTACATTGAACTCACTTTTGTTGGATACTCAAGTATGTATTTTTTTCATGATTTTCACTAGTTGTGTGCCCGTTCCTATGAATTATCTGCCACATCATATTTCTCTTTCTCTTAAAGTTTTAAAGCATTTCTTATCGGTGTATATGAGCTAAATATATTTTGTCACATTTACAGCACACGTTTCCCCAAGTATTTCTGTTAGCAAATTGCATAAGTTCTGAAAATACGTAACTAAGCCAGTTTATCATGTATGATTTAGGAATCTTATTCTTAGAATTTCTGGTTTGGTTTAGGTGAATGCAATCACGATAGATGGTGTGACGCCATTGTTCAACGCATGCTCGCAAGGCAGTGCCAGCTGTACAGAACTGCTTTTGGAATATGGCGCCAAAGCCCAGCTGGAGTCATGTCTCCCATCTCCCATACATGAGGCTGCCAGTAAAGGTAACTTAGTTACAGGATTAAGTACCAAGGGGAGAAAGTTCCTCCAGCAACATAAACTGCTCCATTTATCTTTCGATGAATAACTCTGCAGGGAGAAGCAGGGGGTGGTGCACGTGGGGGATGGGCATTAAATAAACTCGTCTCTACCGTGTGTTGGCAGGTCACCATGAATGTCTGGACATCCTGATATCCTGGGGTGTAGATGTGGACCAAGACATTACTCATTTGGGAACTCCTCTCTATGTAGCTTGTATGTCACAGCAATTCCATTGCGTCTGGAAGCTTCTTTATGCTGGTATTTTCCTTTAAAACATCTTCCGTTCTGCCTATACATACAAGCAATTATTTATTTCTCTAAATAAGCTTCTTTAAAACTTATATCTTATGCTAAAAATGTTCTTATTACTGTAAGCATTCTCACCTATACAAATATAACCAATAAGAAAGAACTTCATTGTTGTTAAGTCTACTTCATAGCTCACAGATGAATACGTAATCTTTATATTTTGTATACATAGCATTGGCAGACATTTGAGTATGTAATGGAATCTGAAGGCCTTACTTATAAAAGATCATAAATTAAGAGCTTGGAGTTTGAATTTATTATTGCCAAGTATGTATATATCTGGAAACAAATCCATCAAAAGAAATTTTAGGGATAGTAACTGCTTAGATGACGTTATCTTCTACGAACCATAAAAACTCATGTACTTGCCTAGACTGTACTTTCTGTCCTGCTTACTTGAAAAGAATTATTGCCCTTTCCCGGTTACTTGAAACAAAGCAATTCTTCAAGGTTGAGCTTTAACCCCCAGAGAAATATTCCTAACCTATCAAGACCATAGTGGTCTCTCCCACTGCAGGACTGAGAGATCCTTTAGGATATGGATTATGCTTTTTCTACATCATCTCCTATCTCTGGCATGGTTCCTCCTTCTCATGTGGTAGACGCTTAGAACATATCTAAAACGAGTAAATGAATTTCTATGCTATTTATTGTTTTTGACTCATTTGACCCCTGACATATACTACCCTTTTTTGTGCTACTCACATTATCTTAGCTAAGTTAGAAACTTCTTGCAAGCAGGGTGCATCTACTATTTCCTTCCCATTAC